AGAATGCTTTCTGAGCTTTGCAGAGAGACTGCAGCTGAAAAGATCAAAGGTTCCTGACTGGTGAACAACAAAGGATCGAAAGGGAGCAACAATAAATGGTGCAACAATGTTGCTCGGTGGTTGCAATCGCCGTTGCTTTGTTTTTGTTTCCTGAATTCCCAGAAAGAAGAAACGTGCGTTTTGAATAAGTTGAAATACTTTGAGGTGAGGTGGGGTGAGCATAAGGCAGCCAAGTTGCAAGTTAGGAGATGAGGTGATGAAGGCAAAATATAGCGTCAGGGTGAGGTCAGAGGTCAAGGGCCTTTGAGAGAAGGGGAAGGGGAGAGAGAGAGATGTGAGATGCCAAGAAGAGATGAGAATGAGGAAAAGTGGTGGCGGCAAATAAATAAAAAGGAGATGAAGAGGAAAAAGAGTGCTTTTCAAAGTCAAGTGCCTCAGCTGCAGCTGCGGCAACTTCGGCGGCAAAAGTCAGCTCTGCGCTTCAACGACGACATTCTCTGGTGCTATTTTTGGGTGCACCAGAGAGGTTTGTTATTGTGCAAATGTGTAAATGCGTGTGTGTGTGAGGATGAATGTGTCGAAGTCGTAATTGGAGGAGGTGGAAGAAGTGACAATGAAGAGAAAGAGAAAATGAAATTAAAAGATTGGAAATGAAAATTAAAAACCTTTTTTAATCGGAGAGGCGATTATTAAGAATTACCGTTTATTATAAATACAAAACCAAAAGACACTTTGGGTAATAAGTGGGAAAAGTAGAAAACGAGTAGGCTGATTAAAAAATTAAAACCTTTTTAAAAATTTTAAAATGATTCGAGACCAAAAGCTAAACAAAAACACCAGAAAATCAAAGTTTTTCAGCAGCAGCAGCAGAAACAGCAGCAGCAGCAACGACACTAAAGCACCCAAAAAACTGAAAGAAAAATGTGCTCTGCTCTTGGTGTTGCCTCTCAGCACAGCACCAAAAACACACGATCACCGAGCAGCAGACAGAAAAATGTCTGTGGTTGTGTGTGCAGCGCAGACGAGAAGAACGATCAGAAAGAGAAAGAAAGAGAGAAAGAGAAAAAGGGAGATTTTTTCTAGCAGCGGCTGCACTAGCAACATTTTCGTTTGCTGTATAGCACTGAACGGCGACAGCAGATCAGGCAGCTGCGACTGCTCACCAGCGTTTCAGTGCAACTGAACAAGCAGACAAGAGGGAAAGAAAGAAAAAGAAGAAAAGAAGAGACAGATCTGGTGGTGGTGGTGGCAATGCTGGTGCAAGCAAACTTCGTGTTAGCTGGGCGAAAACATATAACTGAAGCTGAACGACTGAAGTCTGATGACTGATGACTGACTGACAGTCTGACTGTCTGTGTCGCAATGTGTTTTGGTTTTTTGGGGCTGGTGCGTCTTCTCACTGCTGGTTGAGTTGAGCTGAGCTGACTGACTGACTGACTGACAGTGACAGCGACACTCTGTCTCAACACTTTGAAGGTCTCTGTCGTCAGTTAGTGTCGCCGTCGTTTTGTTGTGGGAGAGTAGCAGTCTTTTAAGTACTTTTTAAAACTGCTAATTGTGTGGTAATGAGGATAGGGGAGAAGATGATAAGAGGAGGGAGAAAAGAAAAAGAAGGAAAGTGTTGAGAGCATATCAATTAGGATTAGATTTTTTAGTTTTATGTTAGTAAAATGGAACCTTTATATACAAAAAATGTCAACTAATCCAAAAAATAAAAAATTTTGTAAGTTTAAAACCATTTGTGGAAGCAGAAAAAAATTTTAAAAAAAGTAAACAAACTGTTAAAAAGATGATACAAAGTTGCCTGCACAAAGTCACTTACTGATTTTGTCGTCGTTTCTCCTTTTTTCTCTCTTTCTTTCTCTCTCTTTTAAGGGAGTTACCTTTTAAAATTTTTTTTATTCAATATCACCATCACCACTACTGACACTACGCAGTTTTTTGGCAACGATATTTTTTTTGTTGCTGAATTAATTGGTGCCCCTCCTTTTGAATGCGTCGCAATTGTTCTGGTGCAGTAGTTTCTGCAAAGTAAAAAGCTAAAATTGCTATTGCAACTGCCGTTGTTTTTAATGCTTGTTTTCAGTTAGTTTTAGATGTTCTTCAACAAAATAAAAAATTTATAGATTTTTTATGTTACTAATAAAAAATGTGGTTTTATGTAAAGTAGTAAAAGTAGTAAAAACAAAATTAAAAATAACCAATTAATTAGTGCTGCTATAAACATTGGAAAAATTTACTAAACCAACCAACAGATGTCAACAAAGTTGTGAGAAAAATAAAAGAATATTTTTTGTTCCAATTGGAACACCGAATCCACAGTGGAGGCGCCGGCAAAGGTCAATGTGAGCATGAGCAGTGACAGCGAGCCTCTCTGTTTACGTGTTCCAGCCGTGCTCTTCTGTTTTCCATTGCTGAATCCACCGTTCACTGGATCACTTTCCAGCACCTTTTTTCTGGTTTCAATCTTGTCCTAATAAACACGTGATTCATCCTCAGCTCTTGATTGCACCCAAGTAATTGACCAGTATTTTCAACACAAAATTAAGCAAATTTTTGAAACAAAACTACAATTTTAATTTTAAGTGATTTCACTTTGTCATCTGGTAGTTGAAAATTTAAAACAAAACTAAATATAAAAAGTGTAATTGGCTGAACTCGATTGCAAAATATAATGAATTGATAACCTTTTAAGTTTACAACTTCACTACTAACCTACTAACTACTAAAAAATAAATTATAAAAATGGGCGACCTCATGGAAGACGATGACGGGTACCTCTATGATGAAGACAAAATGTAAGTAAAAAATTATTTTAATAAAAATTGAATAGAGCTTAACCTGTTAAAGAGAAGCACACTTTACAAGCCCAAAAAATTTTAAAATTATTTTAAAATCAGTTTTTTAGAAACAAACACACAATATCAACGTTGTTTTGTTCTTCTCTAACTTCTTTTTTTCCTTTGCCAAGCGGAAATGCTAATAAAAAACTAACAATAACAATAACAATTGAAGCAATGCTGCGCCAGCTAAACTTGTTATGCAACTGTGCAAAGCACTAGATAAGCTGACAAAACAATGTGTGTTCAATTTAGTTCAGTTCAGCAGTGGTTGAACTGTACAAAGCTAGAATAAGTAGATAAATCAGACAGGAGTTTTGCTTTTTCTTTGCGCCCTGGCGCCTGCATACATCCGCTGCGATTGCTGAAGTGCGGGGGAAAAAGTACAAAAAGAAAAAAATGTTGGTCAGAATAGTGAGCAGCGCAGTTGTTTGATGGTAATGTTGCTGACGACGACGACAACAGCAAAGACAGGAAAAAATAAATCAAACAGTGCAAAAAGAACTAATGATAATGATGACGTGCACAAAAACAATTAAAACATTAAATCAATTTTTAAAATAAGTGATGTGTGAAAAATTATGTTTTAATTGTTTTTAAACACATTTTTAACATTAAAAAATTTATATTTAACTTATAATAAATCAAACTCAAGTTGTGTTTGACAAAAAAAACATTTTGTAGTGTTGTGAAGTTTATGTGATTATTACCTTTTTAATCAACATCAACACAATATTTGTGAAACTAAATCAAAACAAAAAAAAATTAACAATTGATTAAAATAACCATTTCAAAAGAGACTTATGGACCCGTATCAAAGAGGCTACGACTTTTACTACAACTGGATAGAGTGTCAGTATGAGGATAAAATGTAAAAAAATAAAAAAATAAATTTGATTAATAAAAATATACCTTTTAAGTAGAAGCTACTAAAGCAGCCAGAGCACATAAAATTTTAAACTTAAAAACTAACAATTTTAAACCTTAAACTTTTTTAAAATTAGGGGAATGCGCGTCACCTCAGGCACCGTCAAAATCGTCAAAGACGAGGGCAACCTGATTGGCATCAGCATTGGCGGGGGAGCCCCCAACTGCCCCTGTCTTTACGTGGTCCAAGTTTTTGACGGAACTCCGGCGGCTCTTGATGGGACTTTAGAAGCAGGAGATGAACTCCTGAGCGTCAATGGAAAGACGGTGAAGGGAGCCACTAAGGTGGAGGTCGCCAAGATGATCCAGTCAATTAAGGAGGAGGTGACGGTCGGCTACAATAAACTGCATGCCGATCCAAAACAGGGAAAAAGCCTGGACATTGTCCTCAAAAAGCTAAAGCACAAAATGGTCGACGGGATGAGCTCTACGACGGCCGACGCTCTGGGACTTTCTAGGGCTATTTTGTGCAATNTGGGACTTTCTAGGGCTATTTTGTGCAATGGTGAGAATAGAATAAATTTAAAAAAATATAAAAATGTTTTAACTTTTACCTTTTTAAAACTCTCACCCTATACTTCCACTAATCAGACAGTCTAATAAAAAAACTTCAAGAGCTGGACCGCAACGAGTACATTCTCAAGGGACTGGTCAGTCATCTCAACTTTACCATCAAGGCGTACGTTGAGATGACGCAGACGTATAAAGGTAATTATTTAATTAAGAAACTTAAAATGTAGTTTTAGTAGAATGAAATAACCTTTTAATGAAACTGGGCTGCTCAACGGAAAAAAATTTAACAATTTATCTAGATTTTAGTGACGTCTTTGCGGAGATTGGCGCCCACGAGCCGCAAACTGAAGCGAGCAAGGCGTTCACGCAGTTCAGCGAAACGCATCGTCACTTTGAAAAGGAAGGTCAAACGCTGACCGCAGAACTGAAACCGGTAAGAGAAATAAAAGTGTAATGAAAAAATAAAAAATAGTTTAAGTTGTGGTTAACCTGTTTAGAAAATGAAAATCCTAAATCCTAATTAAAAAATCATTTTTTATTAAAGATTCTCGGCGACCTGAACACCTACCTAAACAAGGCAATACCTGACACACGACTGACTATTAAAAAGTACGCCGACCAGAAGTTTGAGTATCTGGTAAGTAGTAAAATGAAGAAGTAATTAGCACAAACAAAGCCTAAAAGTTTAAAGCTTAATTCTCTAAATAAAAACTTCTTTTTGTCACCCTACCATCCCCAGTCCTACTGCCTAAAAGTGAAAGAGATGGACGACGAGGAGTACACCTACACGGCCCTCTCNACCAGAAGTTTGAGTATCTGGTAAGTAGTAAAATGAAGAAGTAATTAGCACAAACAAAGCCTAAAAGTTTAAAGCTTAATTCTCTAAATAAAAACTTCTTTTTGTCACCCTACCATCCCCAGTCCTACTGCCTAAAAGTGAAAGAGATGGACGACGAGGAGTACACCTACACGGCCCTCTCCGAGCCGCTGTACCGCGTGGAGACGGGCAACTACGAGTACCGACTGGTGCTTCGATGTCGCCAGGAGGCTCGGAAACGCTTCGCCGCTCTTCGATCTGACGTTCTCGTAAAGATGGAACTGCTCGATCAGAAGCACGTCCAGAACGTGGCCACGCAGGTGATTCGAGTCATTGCGGCGATGGGCAAGTTCAACACCACCTGTGCGGGCCACCTCGACAGCGGCAGCCTCGCCTTTCCCATTGAGCTGGACCTCTCCAAGACGAGCTGCCTGCGGCTGCCGGAAACGGCTGCTGAGGATGGAGAGCAGTACCTGTCTACCTCACCGGAAACGGCAATGGGCAACAACAACAACAGCAAAGGTTTTGGAGTTTATCGAGACGATATTGAGGGTGATGATTATGATGATGAAGTTGATCCAGAGCTGGCAGATGAGGCCACCTCATTACTGACCGCCAAGGAACGAGCTGAAGCAAATGGACTGCTAGAAAGAAGTGCCGGTGGCAGTTATTTTACCGCTGATGATCAACAGGTGGTTGAGGAAAAAATTACTACTACTGCTGCCAATAAGGAACAGAATGGAAAAGGTCCCGTCAGTCTGATTGACATTTTTGGCGAGATGGAGTTGAAGAGTGAAAAGGAGGAAGATGATGATGATGAGGGTAAAAAGAAAAACAATAAGAAAGATGATAGTTTGCTGATGTTTTGAAATAAAGAACTTAGATAAAAATTTAAAAAATCTTTTGGTTAGTTTGCAAATGTGGTTTAAAGTAAAAACAAAATGCATGTTGTAACAAAAAATTAATAAAAAATATGTAAAAAGTTTACCATTTAAACGATGAAGTCACGATGAAGTCAGAAAATAAAATTTTCAAACAAAACCACAAAAAACAATAAAAATAAATTTTAAAAAATAATCATGTTCTGCAACAGTCTACATCAATGTAAAACAAACAACAAAAAATTTTAAAGAAATTAAAAAAACCTTTTGAAGTTCATTACAAGCGTTACCAAACACATTAGAAAACGGAAAACAATTTAATCAGAAAACAACAACAACAACAACAACAACAACAATTTTCAACACTCTACTAGAAGACTAAAAACTCATTCTTTTTTTTCAACAAAAAAGTTACTGATCACAAATTTATCATCCACACACCATCACCCAACTTTTCTAGTCATCTCGAATGCAGAGCTCCGTTTTCTGGTCCCACTTGGTGCCGATGCCGCAGGGCATCACCTGCACCCACCAGCCGCCGTCACCGTTGGTCTTCACGTACTGACAGACGATGTACTTGTGAACGTCGTGCGGGTGGGGAATCGGACCGGGTTTGTAGCACTTCACGTGGATGGTGTGACCGCCGTCGNAGCCGCCGTCACCGTTGGTCTTCACGTACTGACAGACGATGTACTTGTGAACGTCGTGCGGGTGGGGAATCGGACCGGGTTTGTAGCACTTCACGTGGATGGTGTGACCGCCGTCGATGATGTCCTGAGTGTAGGCGGGGGTGGCGGTAGGGGCGGGAGTGGGCGCGTCAGTGGGCTTCGGAGTCGGAGGAGGGGTCGGTGGGTCGGTGGGCTTGGGAGTCGGAGGAGGGGTCGGGGGATCAGTGGGCTTCGGAGTTGGGGGAGGAGTTGGAGGGTCGGTAGGCTTCTGTGTGGTGGTGGTGGTCGTGGTAGTGGTGGGAGCGGGGGTGGTGGTAGTGGGCTTGAGCAGACACTCCATGGAGTGCTTCTCCGCGCCGTTGATCATGTCCCAGACCTTGGTGAGGAGGACGTTCTTCGGTCCGCACCTCGCCTTGAAGTCGTCATTCTCCAGACTCCAGACCATGGCCCCGGAAACGTC